CTTCGCGCGGCTCCTGGTTACAAGTCGATACTAATGTTAGCCATTCACTAAACGATCAACACATCAGTTTAATAATCTAATTTTTGGTGTGCATAAATAAATAATGATGGCGAATATCACTTAATAACAAAAAAAGTTCGATTGCGAATACAATTAAAACTCGAAATTAATCGATACGTATGAACGATTAAAACTTTTTTTGGAAGTAAAAATCAATCTTCTGTGAATTCACATATATTTTCGAAGAAAATGGTGAGGGTGAGATTTTTGGGGACTTCCCTCTCACCCCCCCCCCTCGGGCTACAGACATAAGATCCGAGCCATGCGCAAATTTTCAGGCTTATGCAATGGTAGTGCATTTCTAAATACACGAGACGAGAGAGAAAACATTTCTGTTTTAGATGCCCGAAGCAAGAAAAAATGATGAAACGGCTTATATTACTCTGACCTAGTCTAAAACGTATTTTCGGACTCGATGAAGGGCGCTAATCTAGTCTTTCACAAAGGTAACCATCTTCCACCGAAATGGTACTGTTTTGCTTATTGTTTTGAGATGGAAGCGTTTATTCGGCATAGTTCATTCTAATCGCCAATAGTTTTTCGTTCTACAATTGTTGATATACTACAATGGAGTTCACTGCTATATTTCATTTCCTCTAAGAATATATTTTAAAAAGCATGTGCTAGTTTTCTTGAGCATGAATCTTTATTTTGTTGACGAATTTGATCTGTGTAATATTTTAAGAAATAGTAACACTTCATGGTGAGAAGTTGCTTTTGTTGAGGAGTTGATTCTTTAGAGAGAGAAAAAATTTCAATAAACTTCGTTATAATGCAGTATTATTTCTTCAAGGAATGGAAGAAATCGATAGCAAACAAGCATTAAAAGTGCTCAAAACATAATTGATCAAATTTTTATTTTTAATGAGAGATCAAAATTCTTAAGGATAATATAAATTCTATTCTATTCTGCTTGCTCTTACATTTTACAAAAGCAAATCATTTATCCATCGATCAACAAAAATGACTCTTTTATCACTTGAGAGTAGAGTTGCCATTGATGAACTTATAATCGATATGATGCGTACACAAATGAATGTAAGGCGAGAAGAAGTTTGTTTACCACAATGCCATTCTATCCTATACCATTGTAGTTTTTTTTTTATAACCTGATCAAACGACAAAGAAGAAAGAGCATGCACGAAATCTATCATCAGTCAAATTTCTCCATGTAGCTATTTTTCAGATTCCACACAACATGCAATATTCTTACTGTTTAATGAATAAACTAGTGAGGCATTCTTGTGTCTATTACCTTTTATTTTTATTTTTTCTTTAATAAACTAATAATACATTTTCATTCTAATTATAAATAGAAATGAATAATAAACAATAACACAAATATTTGCCAATGTACAGCTGTTTTAGGTAATGTTGCTCTCGAGCGTAGATTTTGTATTTGAAGATTTTTATATAACGATGAAGTTAAACAATACATCGGGGTTTCATTAGTAAGAACTGATTTAACTCTGTTAAGTGTAGTTTGATGACACATACGTATTGAATCATTGTCATTGTAAAGACATGAACGTAGAATTAGAAACGATTTACAAACATTATCTTGTTGTTGAACAATCGATTGATGGTATCGCTGACGAAAAAAACAAGTTAATACATAATTCTGACAAAAATAATCATCAATAGATTTGACAATAGTCAATGGTTGATGGTCGAATTTCGATGACGATATTATTTGAGAGAAAAACATGAGAACAAATAAAATAGCCGTGATCAACGACCAGAAAGGTACTAATATAAGCAAATGAAATCGTAAATAAACCATTGTGTAAATGACTGAACTAAACAAATGAAATAGATTTCCTGGAGTAGTTTTTTTCTTCTTCAATTACAAAATTAGATACTGACATATGAGAGGCGACCAAGTATAAAATTTCACTTTTTCCTACTTACATTTTCTTTTTGTTGCTTGTCTGTGTAATTTATCAAGTGATGTGTAAGCTAACATCTGTTCACTATTATTCGCTTATCTATTAAACATTTAGAAAAAAAAAGATGATGAATAGTCCACAGGTAGAAGTACAGTAGAACCATTGAGCTGACCTACTGAAACGTAGAATAATAGGAGAGGAAAAAATCTCAGATTTTTATTACCTTTCTATATAATAAGAGTAGAAAAAAAAATCTATTACAGGCAGATCATATAGAAATAAAAAAGAATTGAAGAGAGAGAGAGAGAGAGAGAGAGAGAGAAAAAGAACGAGAATCTCATTCTGTTAACATTACCATCATACAATAGTGACGGATAAGTGTCGAATTGATGAATGAATTAACCGGTTTTCTTTATGAAAACGTATAATAGCTAGTCATCAGTTCTAATTTCCTGTTTCCGGTAAGACAAGGAGGTCTTCTAACTTTAAATATATGAAAAGAATATGAATTAATAAACATACTTTAAGCTTGAAGTTATAAGTACACCTACATTTGAAACCATATTTTTCTACTAATTAAGTACTGCCGTGCGTACAAAAGTAATAATGTCTTTCTCTTCGATTGAATGAGAATAGTGTAAGTTTGTTAAAATTAATCCGATTCTTTTTTTTCGACTATTGCATGTTATTTAAGAAACCACCCTTATCTATCATTTTATGCACACATAATAGTAGAAAGACGATTCCCGTATAATACATTACTCATAGAAACAAATTACACAAAAACAAAAAACTTCTCTACATGCATGTTCGATTGTTTATTCGTCAATTTTAATAAATACTTTGGGCTTTGAAAAGATTTCAATTGCTTCATCCAATGCTACAAGCTGCTTTTCGATGTCTTCTTTGGCTCGTCGAAGTCTTAGAGAATCATTACGAATTGGTAGATGACCGAGTTTATTTTCAAGTTCAATTCGATCTAATTAAGGGAAATAAACACAGCGATATGCACAACGTTGAGTCGACTTACTCGCTTGAAGTTTTGTTAAAGTAGATTTATGCTCCTCTTTATCAACTTTAACATGGCCAGGAGGACATTCAGGGTCAGGTGCACTAGCACGTACTTTCTGACGATCTTGATCTCGTTTTTCTTTGATTTTTTCAATACTATTGAAGATATTTCTTTTGAAATAAAAGAAAAATATTTAATTAAATGCAATACTTACTAATCTGGTACACGTCCATTATTTTTTTCTTGATAAGCTTTCAATTTTTTTTCAGTTTTTTCTCGCGCATTTTGAGTCGCTTCTGTTGATACTGATTTACGTACTTTTGGAATAGTTTTAACATTTTGTAAATTTATTTTTACATAATCAGGTTTTGATTTATTATCGGCGGCTTGTGTGGCTTCCTATACGAACACAATTTTAAATGTCGAATCAGATACACAGAACCAATAGAAAAGGTACACAAGATCTTCATCGGGTCCATGTTTCTTTTTTTTGTGACACAAGGCCCGAAAAACTTATTGAACAACTGTCTCTACTTCAAATAAATTATCAATCATACCAGGTTAACCGATGAGCCAACAGAAGCTCGACGGACATCACAAGCTGATTGAGATCGTAGATTTTCTGGTCCAGTACGTCCATGTGCACGAAGAAAATTACCTTGAACTGATTGTGGCCGAGACGCTGATCGTTGAGAATCCTACAGTAATAATGTTCCTCATCGAATCAATTCACAGTTATATTACTGACTACTTTAAGTTTTTGTTTAACTTTCGATTCTACATTATCGTATTCTTTCGAACGCCAAAGTGGTTTCATAGCTGTTTTCTTGGCGTCTTCTTCAGTCGATTTGCGTTTCTGTGTTTCTTGCATAATACGTCGAATCCGTTTTAAATTTTCATTCGTATGATTTCTCGGTGGTTCTAAAACAATATATGATTCTGTGTTTTCAGTAAAATTTACGTTTTCAACCTACTTCCTGTTTTACTATTTGTATCCAAACTGCTTGAGCATCGAATGTCAAGGCGAAATGGAGCGCCAGTATTAGCGATTGCTCGCTTATAAATTGCTTTCGCATGTGAACCACGAACACGTGGGTTACTACTAGTAACGCATCTATCGTAAATGTAAGAAAGAAACATTTGATTAGACATCATTGAAGATTTGAAAAGATTGATACCTCCGTGATAGAGGATCATCTCCATAGCCAGGATCTGGCGGAAAAGGAGTTCGTAAACGAGATGGGCCTGAAAGTCAACCATGATTGAATTCTAATTATACAAAATAGCATGGTACTTGCCCTCTAAATTCTGTGTACGAGTATCGAAATTCTGGTGTGATCGTGAAGCAAAACTATTTGTTAGAGATGGACCAAACTGAGCTGACCATTGCAATGGGTTTTGAGACTGATGCATTACGTACGAGAAATGATCGATCTGATTACGTTAACTTGTACAGTGATCGCCATTATCGAGATCATTACTATGAGTTTAAATCTATATTGTATTTTAAATAATTTCTTGAATAAAAATTACTCAAACAAAAATTAATTCTTGATAAATTTCATTTTTTGCTCAGGTATTCGTTCTCTGCATGTCAGATTTTGTTCTGTATAGATGTCAGTGTACTGATTTTATTTTCCTATTGCTTAGAATTCGATCGAATGAGAATAAGTAGAACGTTAACTAACTAACTAACTTTCTTTTCTTTTCTATAATAACGTATACAATCAGTCAATCGAACATATGCCAACGACAAAAAAAAGAGCTGCACTATTAGAATAACAACTCTATAATTATGAATGCTAATACACTTCGTTCACCTGAGTGTAGCGTATGTTTACAACCATATGTTAACCCAGTTAAATTGCCTTGTGGCCATTCGTTTTGTTTTCTCTGTGTCAAAGGCGTGGCTAATATGAGCCATAATTGTGCTTTATGCCGGTATGATGTTGAATAAAATATTTTTTCTTATTCAAATTTTCTTGTGTTACTACTTAGAAATCCATTTCCACGTGAATTAATCGACAAACCGAAGGTATTAGCATTAGAATTGCGAGATGATGAATCAATAACATCAACAACGACCACACTCCGGAATGTATGGTAAGATAATAGAAACCATTCATTTTTTTTTGACGAGAGTTTTAATCTATTTAACAATACATTTTCCAAAAAATAAAACACCAGCAGAATCGGTGAATACATATATTGAGTGTCTTTGTCGTAGTAGAACGATTGGTTGCATATTTTACTCAATGTTGTATTCTCTATTTTTTTTTATAAGCAATGTCTCTGCGAATATTTATGAGGCAATATTATACGAGTATATGAATTTTCAAGCAGTAGCTTATGAGATGACTACTCTATATACACCTGGATGATTGAATCTTTGAAATTTTTTTCTTAACCATTTTCAGCCGACTCTCAGAAGCGACATAGTTAGAAATCTTCTTCTGCATATATTTTCTTATCCTCCCATGAAGATAGCAAAAAACTATTTCTCAAAATAAAATGGTGCTTCTATGTTGAATGGCTTTATGTTGCCATTTGGCAACAGCCGGCTGTAAGGGATCAAAACTTTGGAAAATTGATTCTTCGTTTTCGATCACCAAAATTCACTATTTTACGTTCTTTTCATTTAATCCTTCAAGAAAAAGCGTAGAAAAAAATATACGATACACCTGCGCAGTTTCTCCGCGATTCAAATCCACTTTTGTATGAAAATTTTGACATACGTTGAATTTAAGGAAAGAGTAGCTATATGAGTTTTTGTGTTGGTGGGGATCAGGATAGATATTTATGTAGATCTTCTATTTTTCTACATTCAAGCATATATGTAAATCAAATATCCATTTCCACACCAGTTGTCGAGACCTGCAATACTACCATGCTGTTGTTTTTTCATTGAAAACTCCATTTGAAGCTATGAAAATGCACCATATATATTTTGTATCCTTTTTTTTCTGGTATGAGTAAATGAAAAAACACGCAATAGTGAATATCGACAATCGAAAAGGAAAAATGATTTTTCAAAAATTTTGACCCCACACAGCCGGCTGTTGCCATTTGGCAACATTCGTACCTCTTATTGTCACTATTCCTTGAATCATCTCTTTGAGTGATACATAGGCTAAAGAGGGGAAATTTACCACTAGCGACCTGTGGTATTGAATGATTCGAGGTATCGTAAGAACATCTATTATGATTCACCTGTTCTTTAAGGGTATTCAGGAAGGATCCTGTCATTTTCTCAACTGAACGCTTTTGTTTTGTTTGATGGACTATGAGTTTGTTCTAAAATGTGTTGTAGTAATTATTGAACCATGGATTCGCTAGCTATCCACAGTATCACTAGACTTTTCCTAAAATATTGGCACAATGTTGCCAAATGGCAACATCCGGCCGTAAAGGGTTAAGAGAAATCTAAGAATACCCCATGGAAAGCATTCTATGTCAATAATGAAAAAATAACCTTCACAATTTGGCTTTAAAGACAGATGTGAGGAAATATTTTTAGTCTCAATCAAACGTTGTTCGGGATTCAAGAGAAGTAACGGTTGAAGTCATTCTCTTGTTGAACGTTGCAAATAATTAGTTGCTTTGATAGACATAACATGCAAAACTTTCCTTTTCTTTTATCAGGTACTATGAAGGTCGTAATGGTTGGTGGATGTACGATCAAAGAACAAATGATGAAATTGATCAATTATTTCGACGTGGTGAGCGACGTGCAGAAATACTCATTGTTGGTCATTTATATGTTATTGATTTTGAAAATATGACTCAATATCGTTTAAGTGACACGCAACGTCGACGACGAATTAAATATGATCTTATGTCTGCGCCCAAAAAGGGTGTTGCAGGATTAAAACTTGATCGACAAAGGTTAACTTTTCTTTTAGGCTATCTAAACAAATTTCATATCAAAGATGCTATTATTTCTAGAAGTACTCCACACAGTTCAGCAGCAATCGATGCACCTGTTGTGCCATCTTTAGCTTCATCCGTTCCATCGATTATTGGAAATTCTTCTTCTACGGATCATCCTGTTGTAATTCGATCTAGATCGGATGCCGACGGTGAGGAACCAACATTATCTCCTCCCGTAGTTCCACCTGTACCTTCTCCACCAGTCGATTCTAATCGAGTAGCAATACGACTACCAGCCGATGGCCTTGGTAATTCAAATACAACAATAACTTGGCGGCCAAGTAATACTAAAGATGACGCACGTCGTCTAGCATCATGGAGCAGTAATGACGATGATGATGATGAACTTCCGCCATCATCTCGACTCCGACCCGTAATTATCGGAGGCGAAGATAATACTCAATCTCATCGCTCAGATGACGAAGATACATTATTAACGGATCTTTCATTAAATGCAAATAATTAATTGTTTCATATTGAAAATAATGCAATCAATCGCTCAAGAAGAACAAACGATTTTTCTTTTATTTTTAGATCGAATGCGATAAGAAAGGCTAATTGGGGATTTTTCTTTGTTATTTTTATTGTCTATAGTTCATTTATAAAAGGCAAAGACAGAAGACCTAGAATGATAATGTCATGAAAAGACAAAAAAGGAAATGATGTCAAGGGAGAGTTATTTCGCTTAATTTTATTATTCGTCTATCTTTATTTTGTTTTGAATAGAATTTATGCATGAGTTTCTAGATGGACTACATTATTTTCTTAAGTGAAAACATCAGTTGGATGCAAAAATATTTTTCTTTGTTGTCGAAAATGAAATTACTCCGTAAAATATTTGGGCGTTCAGTCATTTGAATATATTTTAACATAAAAGAGTTCCTTTTTTTTCTTTTTGTTATAAAAATTGGCGAGAGAACAAAACAATGTTTTTTTTGGCATATGAAAGAGCATAATATAGTATAGAAAATATGCCATCATCATTCAGTTTTTTTTTTCTTCTTTTGAGAGAGCTCTGAAACATTTGTTTTTTTGTTCTTCTAGATTTTTTCTTTATGTCGGATAATTATGAATGACATTGAACAGATAAATCAGCAGATCCATATTATTACCAACCCGTTATCTTTGTCAAAGCAACATCGGTAAGGACATCTTCAAGATGGTTAAAATCTTTTTGTGCTTGAAAACTGATGCGTCCGACAAGAAGATGATATTGTAAAATAAATGCGGAAACATCGGATTCGCATCCGATTATTATGTGTACTGCAAAAATTGAGTTCATTTATATATGTTGTAAATAATTCTGAGAAAAAAAACTCCCTGTACCCCCCCACCCCCCCCTCAGGGATGATCTGATCAATAATGACAATTTTGTCGATAACTCAGTCGTTTCTTGATGGATCCTTCTTATCTTCGAGCTCGACTGAGATATTGATGAGATCATTCTGTGTAAAAAATTTCATGACAATTGGATGAGACTTTCAAGGGCTATCGTGGGAACGGCCGGACGAACACACTGACCGAATCTAGTGTACTCACTTTTTGAGTACACAAAAAGAGAATTCTTAGGAAACAAACTTCTTTTATTAATTAGCAGTATATACGATGAGTACTTCTAGCTAGTGTCTAAAGCCTCACCGCGAGTGTTTTTTTTTTTAAAGAAAAATCAGTTCGACAAAATTATATAAGAGAGATGTGAAGTTTCTTTTGATATGTGTTTATGTTTGATCGTCTCATTTGAATAATTGCGGCTTCATTTTTATTTCAATTGGATCTTGAAACTATAATTTTTTCTCTAGGCAATAGGTATTTGCCTGTGCGTCATTGATTTTGTCATTTTGATTCACGTCGCATCTATTCGTCATCATGAATGTTCCTATTATTCATTGTAGCAGCTGTGTAGTTTTTTCATTCATACATCGACTGCATTAATCACTTCAGAAAAGACAAAAAATTCAAGGGTAGAGAAGAAAGAGAAAAAAACTCACCTGAATTTAAATACGAGCTGGAATATAAAATAAGAAAAACAAAAATGTGCTGCCTATAGTTGTTGATAAAGGAGAACTAATTACCTATGGTCTTGAATCATTTTCTAAAAAGCATATTTATCTGCGGGTATGTAAACCAAAAAAGTAGCTTTTTTTTTCATTCTCGCAAGGCTACTTACCCTACTCGTAAGTATTATTAAAAATTCGGAGCAATTTTATTTAAATAGTTTTTTATGATGAAAAAAAAACCCGTTTGTCAGAACAATCCGTACGATACTAAAATATAGCTGTCGCTGTTAATGTTATCTCATTTGTTTTATTCTATGTATTTTGGGACACACGCCTTCACTTTCTTCTCTCGGGCTTCAATAAGGAAGGAATCCACACATATTACAACCAGACGCTACCCGATAAGCTGCCTATTATCCTATAAAAGATTTCATGTAAGATTTGATTCCTTTGTAGTAATATTCTTTTCATAGATGTTGTGTAACATAGGTTGATAATTATAGACAACTATATTTGTTTTAGACTCTCTAACAGAGGACGCTACAGGGCGTGTTCTTCTGCAGGAAATCAAAATTACCTAATTGATAATGACCGAAAGGTATTCTAGTCTAGTAGAAACACTAGTCACGATTGTCAATTATTATAAATGAGAGTAACAGAAGTATGTCATATACTAATGATTAGTACGTTAGAGAAAAGATAATTTCGCTCAGCTAGATTGACAGATGACCAGCTTTACGACGAGATAGAGTTTACTGCATAGTGAATTTATTCACTCATGTGAGAAATTGAGTGCTGATGCTTCTGTTTATATTCTGAATTGTGTTTATCGTTTATTTCGTATCTATCGGACAACAAATAGTTCAATCAGATGAGCAGGTTCGAATTTGTTTTCTCATATTTTCTACTTCTCAACAATCAGACATAAACTTTTCAAGATAATCAAAATAGAGAACAATATTTATGATGCAAAATGTTTTCAGCACTTGACCAATCGAGACAGTTTAAAGTGCAGTTAAGTACCCTTATCACAGCAGAATGAGAGTAAACAATCGAAATGTTCACTATTTCATTGTAGCAAATGATCGATCAAGGTGAGAACAACATAGATAGACATTGCTGGATGTTGTTTTTCTTTTTCATACTCAAGGACCTTTAGTTTGTAAAACTCCTCTAACTACTTTTGGAGAAATTCTAGCAAATAGTTCTAAGAAAAAGAACATCTATCGTTTTGACTAATCGAGAAAAAAAGGAAAGTTCAAAACTTAGCTAAGTGCAATATCTATATGACAAAAGATGTCCGCTTGTTCTAGTAAAAAACAAGATTGCTACTTAAAAGGAATCAGCACTTATTTGTCGCCTTACAGTAATACAGTGCATGTCTGTGCCAAAATTTCCAGCACTTGTTCTCGCTTAAAATCATTGATGATACTTTTATTTAGACGATCACAACGACAACGAGTGAGTCCAGAACCGCAATCAATTAACGCTATCAAACAATTATCACCTCTTGATCTCTCCGATTCTCTACAATCATTGGGCATGACAGATACAAAAATCAATCATATACTTGCAACAATTTCATCGTCGAACACTATTGACACAAATCCTTTAGCTGACCAAATCAAAATGACAAACAATCATTTTCACAGACATAATTCCGTTGATCAACAAAATGCTAATCTATCAGATAGCGTAAATAAAAAGAAACTTCTTATAAATTTTTCAAAATCTTCTCTTCGCTTTTGTTTTAGTTAAATAATCTGGATGATGACAATCTATTAAATAATTCACCTCCGTCAAGTTCATCACTTAAACACAATTCCTTGTCATCATCCGATCTCGATCCGTATGAACGTAAAAAGCAAGCTGTCTTAGCTAAAGCCGAAGGCAAACTAGATAAAGCTCAACATCTCTATCAATTAGCACAGCAAAGTGTTGAGCGAAGTATTTCGGAATTTCTTCGTGCTACGACTATGCCCGGCATTATTAATGAATCAAATTCATCGAAGACAATAGTTGCAACGTTTGAAAAACGCATTCGTACATTGCAAGAAACGAAAAAGAAATTAGAAAAGAAAATAACGAAATACCAATCAGATATAGCTCGTATACAATCCGGAGATATTCCACATCATTATAGATCATCGAAAGATATAATAAATAATATTAAAAATAAAGTTGCAAATGGAAATTATAAAAATCGTTCATCAAATATAATGTCAACACCTATTCTACATGAACAAACAATAACGTCAAATCATCAGGAACCAGATAATTGCAATGCGCAATCGAGTGCTCTGTCGACATCGATGAATCATAATATAGAAGCTATGAATAATAACTCGAACTTTTTATCTTATTCACAAAACAGTAATACGTTTGAGACCATGCGTTCATCACCATCAAGTTCAACGTCGAATGAAATTGGAAATTCGCAATTTTATATTGATTCGAATTGTAAGTAGAAAATATATCACCCGATTATACAGCCGGAGCAAATCAGATATTAGAGTTCTTTTTTAAAATATGTACTCGGAAATTCCTTGATAATTTTTAATTGAGAAAATTCAATCGGCTTTTATGGTAATAAAAAAATAGTATAACAACTTCTGTGTTTAAGACGATGTTGTTTATGATGGTGATAAATCAAACCGAAGAAATGAGCTCATCCTTCCAGATGAGCATGTAGCGAAAGATCATCGGCACTATAGTTGAATCAACAGCGCATTTAGCTTCATTTTTTTCAGGCTGATAAGAGTTTCTATTGAAGATAGTAATTAATTGATTTTTTCCGAGTCTATTGAGATACATATTAGTGTTTTGAGACCTACTAAATGCGCACAACAGACTTTGGTATCAGTTAGAATAACTAGCGTGTTCTCTATATGTATTCGAAATGTAAGAATAAGGAAAATCACTTCAGTGACAATTACGTATCGCTAGAAAATTTTCCTTTGATGTTTTTTTTTTCGATTAGTATAGCAAGACTAAAGAACACATGTTCATGCCGGATCAACTTTGTTGATAAGCTCATTACTCAACGTTCTGATAACACGATTCTAGACAATAGAAATTTCTTTGATAGCACATAGATTAATCAAAATGCTTTTCTATTCTAGCTGAAGTATTGGCTATCAACGAGGCTGATAAATCACCTGTGACAAAACGACGTTTAACGTAAGTGATTAACGGGAAAATCTTGAAGAAAAATAATATTTTTCTTGTAGTGACGATTCCAATATTGAATTCTACGATCAAACATCCGATCATTCCAATGATGATCGATTGGTTTACAATGCATCAATAAGGCGAAATAACATTGTAAATAAACGATATTTGTTTTCTGTATTCTAAACTAATTTCGTTTTGTGAAACACGATCTGAAAGGAGTGTTGAAGTGTATGGGGTAGAAATTTGTGCCCACAGGCCATTACAGAGAAATTAACTAAGTAGCTAGTTGGTTAATTAATTATTTATTTAATTTCTCTGTAGCGGCCTGTGATGCTCTCTAGCGATGTTATACATCATAATTCAGACCGTGACAGAGAAGCTCTACAGATCATGACCGAAAGGCTCCATATATGCTTACAGGCAGTGGCAGGAAAGATCAAAACAGCGTGGTAGACAAGTTCCAGCAAAGGATTTTCATCGTGTTTCACATTTTAATCCCACAGGGATTGCGCTAATAGGTTTTTTTGTTTATTTCATTAGACAACAGCTGAATATCATCAACTAATGACAAAAATCGATTCAATTCATAAAGTAATCGAGCGCTATGATACACGAGTGAATGATATGCAAAAACAAATAGATTCATTAGTATCAATCAATGATTCTCAAAATCAACAAAACGAACGTTTAAATAATGAATTAACAGATTTAACTGATTTGCATCAACTGGAAATGTCAACGTTAAAAACTGATTTAAGAAAACTTGAAGAAAAACTTCTTTATAATTTGAATGAATATTGGGCAGAAATTATCGAACGACTGGACAAACTTGATACAAGAGTTAGTTTTTGTTACTTTTATTGGCAAACATAGAAAATCTTATAATATATCGTTTACTTGACCGAGCGCACTGAGTATACAAAAAATTCTATCCGATATAATCTCATCTGTTACGTGTGCAAGAAAAATCTAAAAACATCTGTAGACACGTTCTGACAAAAAAATGTAGATCAGTAGAAAAATCCGATGCAACAGCTTTTATAATATATGATGTTGTACGCGATGAAGGCTTTTCTCCTTTATTTTAAATAGAGTAGCTCAGTTAAACAATCGGTATCAAATTGAGCATCACAGAGAAATTTGTAAAAACAAATATTGATTTTTTGAGAATATGTTTTTGTGCAGAAAAATGAAAATATTAAATTTTTCTAGACAACAAAAGTTGAACAAACGCAAGCACATGCCTTTGACACCGAAGAAAATACTCATCGGCTTATAAGTAAATTTGTGAATATTCTATTAACTGTATTCGCTATTATACTTCTGCTACTGTCAACAATAAAAAATCTTCTTCAGTCACGGTAATTATTTTTTGTTCTTTGATTATTATTCATTCAAAGTTGATCTCTGATTTTGTTTTAGTGTTCATGCGATAATTCTACTGATTCTTGTATTTACATGGATTGCCTTTCACTATCTACCGGAGAATTATTTCCAGTTAACAGTCTTGAAAAGTATTATCTAAAGAAAACGATCTTAAAGATTGTTTTCAACCAAAGGTTTATTTCTTAGGCTTCACGAATCTCTTCACATGAACATTGTATAAAATGCTTCGAATGATACACTATGTTTCCTTCTTGTTGTGCAATGTATATTTCATTTGGGAAATGGAAGCTGGTCCAACACTTTATCCATTGTGTGGTAGTTTTAGATCGAATCTCCCATTGAGATTATTTCCACGTTCTACTTTTTTTCTATCGTAGTTTTTATTATACTTTCATTGAATAATGTTCTTTTTTAATTTAAACATCTAGTCGTTTGTTTGTTTGTTTGTTTTTTTCTTTCTTAAATATCTCTGTAAATTATGCGCAAGAATGCCAAAATAACTTTGTGTAAATATTAAACCAAAGCATAATATACGAGTACATAATCTTGCTGTGTTCTTCTTTATTGTTTATATATTAAAAACAAATCACACGTAAATAACATCTGAAAAAAAGCGAGATAAAATATTCAGTAGAAACTGAACAAAGAGAAACACCGACGGGCCAGTATGCATAATATTCGCTTTAACATATTCCAATTATTACGCACACTCCGCTCGTATCCTTCAGAGCATAAGGATGAGCTCACAATGAACTGATGCTTTCACTGCGGCTGCTATTATGTCGGCTTAGCCAGTCATTAGAGAAAGTGAAAGGACGAGATGATCACGCCCGAAGAAGTTTTCTTACCGGGTTGGAACTTAACACTTTGCTAACAAGAGCTCTTTGAAACACATTATTGTCAAAGACCAGCCAACCCACTTATTCATCTGCAGCTTACAAGAGTATTTCATCGTGTCACTGTTATGAAGGATAAAAATGTACAGAATGATTAAATAGCTTATTCAATACAATCGCTATAATTAGCTTACACCGATTATACTTTTTCTCCGTCTCAATATTTTTGTTGCGTTCGAACGAAGATATGATCGACTTTTTTGGCGAAATCTTTATTTTATTTTATTTTAATTCCACACTGCACTCGCACCACGTCGTAAAAATTCGATAAATCGAAAGTTCAAACAGTAAAAGAACATGCCGTGTTCAACTAAATATCTGTACCGAATTATAAATGCACTACAACAAATTCATATTGACGCATTTCTTACATAAGCGTCGAGTTTCATTCTTTTTTTGTACATTTCCTGTATTCGTTTATCTATTTTATCAATCTATAATTGATTTATTTGGGTGCAATTCATGTATGTATGATAGAAAAAAAATCGATCAATATCGCTCGTGTAAAAATAGTTGCATCTTCACTTGTTTAGTAGAAACGAAAATTTACTTTAAACTTTAAGAATCTTGTCTTAAATTCGAATAGAATAAAAATGACCTTATGACCATTGGTGGTTCTACTCTGTTTTATTCATAGTGAAAAGAAGAACATGCGGTACTTATTACTTGCATGTAGGAATAGTCAGTCCTAAATATATCGAAAAGCAAAATGTCGCTAGCAGTCGCGTCGTTCAAAAATGTTCTCTTATCATCTATTGGCTACTCAGATGTAATAATAAGAAGAAAAATACAAAGCCACCCAGCTGACTAATACAAGCAGAAAAAGGAAAAAAGAAAGAATTTCGCTCCTCGTCAACTATACATATTAGACAGACAATGTGTGACAATAAAGATATGCATCGATGTTCAATTTTCTCTTTTTCTTTTTTTCGTATTTGATAATAATAATATGTGGACATGTGTCTGTTGATACCATCATATAGTCAGTCAGTTACGTGATCGATTGTATAATCGAGCAAAAAAAGACACCACGACGATATGTATGAGGTTGAATGTATAATATATAATTTCGTGCTTGTAGATTTTTTTATAGTATTACAATGGTATCAAGTTTACTTGCTCGTTGCATCATGTAAGTATCTAACTCGATTTTCTGTCATGATTTATCGTTTTTATTTAGTGTCACAATTGGCACACTTTATCCTGGATATCGATCATACAAGTCATTAATTAATTCAGATTTACGTGAAGTGGTATGAAAGAAAAAATTGATTACCTTGAATAAAATATGATTTATTATATTCTAGGTTAATTGCCTTCGCTATTGGATTGTATTTTCAATATTTATAGCATGTGAAACAGTTACTGATATTGTTCTTTCATGGTAGATAATTATGAATATTAATTTTGTGTTTTTTATGATTGATTTTTTTCTTTTCTAGGTTTCCATTTTATTATTGGATTAAAATAGCTATTGTATTTTGGATAGTTTCGCCTGCTGGTTCAACATTTTTATACAAACGTTTTATTCAACCGCTTCTTAAAGAACGAGAACAAGTATGATTACAGAAAATCTTTTGTTTCACATCGAATTTAATTCATATACGATGTCATATTTTATCGGAAACTTGAGAACGAAGCCTTAGAATTGATCAGTCATTTTTCAAATGAAACCATTCACATCATGTTGACTTATGATTACGTTTAAGAGCGTTTGAAATTTCAGACGATTGTTGTATTTTATTTCATCTCATTTTCAACGAAAACTTCCTCTGCTGAGATCAATTCAACGTCAGAGCTGTTAATGCTTTGACTTTTGATAAATCCAATCTATGTGCAATGGCTCTTTTTTTCTTCATAATTGTAGGCTAAAATAGAAATAATGCAACATTTGAAAATAATATTTTCTCCTTTGTTTACAAAAAATACCATAAGAATGCAGTAAGCTGAAACCTCTGTTGAGGATATTCATAGCTCATTATAGTCGTAAATAATCCCAACTCAAAAGTGATTCGAGCGCCCAAGAAATTCTTGGGATTCTATTTCATCGAAAGGAAAATTCATTATTGAGTTAATATCAGTGTTGACTGAATTTTATGAAACAAAATCTGAGTGTTGATAAGATAACTTATCAAGATAATATATTTTCCTTTGAAGCAATAGTATAAATCTCATGTGGAGTCTGTTATTAATTATCATTATCTCAAAATTCAATGCGAATAAAATCACTATTGATCTGAAGCGTCGATATTGAGTAATGTCATTACCGTGCTTTGTTATTCTTCTTCTATAACATACAATCAGAAAGGAAGTATGTTCTCAAAATCAGTGAAAACCTTGACAGCGTCTAAATCATATAACATTATAACGTAAGCCATAAAAATTGCCCAAAAATGCCAAGTCTAAAAATGCTTGCCACGTTCGTTTCTTTCTCTCTTTTTATATAACATGCTAATCGAGAACGGTGAAGGACAAGGGTTTATTTTCATTATTACAGGATATTGATCAATTAATCGAACAAACACGACAGAAAGGTTATACGGCATTGTTTGATTTAACTAATAAAGGTTTTCGATATGCATCGAATGTATTCTTAAATACGGCTGTTTTGGTAATTCATGTCTTGTTCAAGTGTTTATTTTTTTATAAATTCTTCTTTGTTTTGTTTTTCATTAGGGTCAATCATATCTCGGTGAACATTTGAAACGATCATTAAGCACAAGTGATATTAGTAAACGAACAACAAAACCTTCTTCCAATCCACCAGCTACATTAGTCGAAGAAAGTGAAGAAGGTTAATTGCAGGAGAAAATCTCTATCTTTCATAAAAACATTTCGATTTTTGTTTTCGTAGAAACCGATCCGGAATTTATAAGTCGTGTAAAAGAAGACCGAAAATATTTAGCTAAAACAACGAACCGGAGACCGCTTTCACGTAAGTTGACATTTTTCAATGAAATCTTGTTTGAGAAGTGTGCATCGCACACGTTTTTCGCCCCGACAGTCAAAGTAATGCTAAGTCCCGAATGGAAACGTTTTCATAGAGCTAAACAACATATTTCCTTCTGTCGATTTGAAGCACATAGTTCGATTGTGTACTTGCGAAGGTTGTCACTTGTTTGAACTGGAGAAAAATATTAGTCATTCATTAATATATTTTATTATTTACTTAAAGATTATCAAGAAAAGCCTGAAGACTCATCCGACAATCCATTGGATGAATATGAAATGTCGAAAGTCATGGCTCGAAAAGGACGTTCAGCAAGTAAAAAATCTGCTAATGAAGTACGTCACGGTTTATTTCAAATTCTTTTTTCATCTCCTTTTCTTTTCTCTTTCTGAAATTAAATAGAACCACAGGTAAAAACAAAAAAATAGTGTTCTTTGTTGTGTCTTCTGTTGCTTTTTGCCTCCTTTAATGTCTTAAATATCGCAAATGTTTCTTTCGCCTATTTAGAACAATCATACAGGATTGACTTCGAAGCGAGCAATGAAACAAGCAAATACAAAAAAATCTACCGCTAAATCAGCAATATCAATTGAGCATGATGCAGATAGTTCCGATGAAACAGATGACGAAATTGGAAATATTCGTAAAAGAACTTAGAATGTGTGTTTTTTTTCTGTCTCCCCGTCTGTAAAATCGTCTGTGTCATTTCTTTTCTTTTTTTCGCTTGGAAATGGTGCGTCTATTTTCTAGATAATGTACATTTCTCGACAAAATGTTCGGTTCTCAGAAAGACAACTAAATTATCTATATATTCATGCAGATTGATGCTGAAGTTTGACTGTTTGTTTTTTCGTTTCTATTATTTAAAAGTTATTTGTTTCTTTTGAAAAAACCCCACTGTTTTATTTATTCATTATTGATATGTAAACAAAACAAAAAATACTCTAGGTGATCTATACGTTGTATGAAATAGTTTTTCAAATATGTTCAATATAGATTTAATAAAAAAAAAACGGTTGTGCCATGAATGATGGTATTAATTGAAATTTTGTGTTGAATAATCCGCTTTGCAGTATATTAATGTGAGACGATCAGATCGAAAGTTCATCTCGTTTTAGGGAGTGAAAATAACACTGTGAAAATTTTAGATCAGACGGTCATGTCTATTTTTAGGGATTGCAGGGTGTTTAGTTGAGAATGCTTCGTGAAATCACGGATCAAGTGATCGAGAGTTTTTGTTGTTAATTGGCGATAGAGATAAAGATCTCTTCGAAGATGCTAGCTGTAATCAAGAAAAAGTTGTTGCATGTTAAAAATGAAGACATATTCAAGAAGTTGATGGCGATTCGATTCTTCCGAAGAATGTGAAAGCTAGATCTAATATTCCTATGAGTGGATAAGATCTGATTTCATGAAGATATTAAAATAAGAATTCAAGAACAGCTTTCTTTTAATGATTGCACAAAAGATAAAGAAACTACCAGCAAAAAGGCTCTTTTTTGTCGTTTCCTATGTCGCACGCTTAACTATCTTAAACAAAAGTGGAAGTATTGTTAACATAAAAAAAACAATACCAGCCTGACCATCAATTTTATTATGCTCTAAGTCAGTATTTTTAAATAGGAAATGGAATTTCAGAAATCTTCAAGAAAATTCATGCCTGTCCGTTAGTCAAGTAATAGAGATCATTATTCTGAATAGGCATTGTTTTACATTTTGAGCCAATTGATTATATCCCGATGTCTTGAACTCATCGTCTTTCTACGTGTATATGAATGGAAAGAAAATGTTAGTCAAGTGTGCTACGATAAAAAAATGATATACTCGTTTTTCTTTTATTTCGAAATTCAAAATGAATGAAAAATAATATAGATTTTGCAATCGAAAATACACTATTTCAATAGTCTTATGTTAAATAATGTCATTGAATGGTTAGGAGATATTCAACAAATTAAAGTAGTTGATAATCCGAAGACTTTTGTTTTGGGACGAACACGTCAAGATACAAAACGTGACAGCTGAATTTGCCAGCTTTTATTAAGGGGAAAACATCGTACTTTTGTACTTTGAGGAGTCAAAGTACGATGTTTCCCCCTTGATAATGCACCTACGAGTGAATGTACAAGAGAAAAGAGATTTTTAAAGTAAAACTATATATGCCAGAGAATAATTGAAAATAAAATGCAGGTCATCTATAGTAATAACTGATTCTTAACTGAACACAATCTCTGAATATGAGATATGGTTCGATCCGAACAGTAATATATCAAGAAACTAAGCTCTCGAGAAGTGGTAGGACACGTTTCCTTGCCGATCGAGATGATTTAAGCTTGTAAAAATGTTTTCAGCTGATAAGAATGAATCATAGTTATTAAACTTTATACTCATCGCATCGAATTAGCTATAATTCTGGAATAAAAAAAAGTCTTATCAATCAATAAGTCTGCATATAAAGCAAAAAACGTAGAGGTAGGAAATGATTATCTTCTTTTGGATTTATATCACGTGTTAAGCATATACTAGCAAACTTTTTGAAAAAGTTACTCGTGTTATTTGTTGTTCATTTGATGGTTCATATCTTGATTCAATCTTCTTGGACTAAATGAGCTCAATTAATCAGGCACCATTGATCAATTGACAATTTTCAATCACGTTTTCTGTTATCTTACGAGGGAAGGGCTCCAAATGATACCAACGATTCGAGTTCACATTGTGCTCATAAGTAGGACCCAGTGAGACTAGAAAAAGCCTAAAAGATTTCGTGCCATTAGGCATTTCTTTCAAAGTTATAACCGTTTTACTAAATTTTCGAGCTTGGACAAGGAATTTCGAACTGAAATTTTTCCTAACAGTAGGTCTCATCGGTGTTAGAAGGTTCCAAAAGTTTCAGTGAAAATGGATACATCATTCTCGAGATATTGCATATTGAAGAGAAGTCAATTTTACGACATTTTTTGGAAATGGTCGTTTTCATCAATATGCAATATCTCAAGAATGATGCATTCGTTTTCACTGAAAATTTTGGAACCTTCTAACACCGATGAGACCTATTGTTAGAAAAAGTTTCAGTTCGAAAATTCCTTCATTCAGTTGTTCTATAAATTCCTTGCCCAAGCTCGAAAATTTAGTAAAACGGTTATAACTTTGAAAGAAAGGCCTAATGGCACGAAATCTTTTAGGCTTTTTCTAGTCTCGCTGGGTTCTACTTACAAGCACAATATGAACCCGAATGGTTGGTATCACTTGGAGACCTTCCCTCGTTAGACAAAAAAATATCTTTCTCTCAATGATAGTGGATGTTACGTTAATTATTCGGGTGAGTTCTTCCAATGGATAGTGTGTAACGATGATTCACTTTGACAGTGGAAGACAGTTAGTTAATCAAATATTGAACAGTAATGATATTTACTCTACTGCAAATAGTGTTCCATTATTTATTAATGGATATCTTGTGCGGTAATATTAACTGCAAAACATATTTAGCCAGCGATGCAATAAATATAATATATCCATTAGAACTTGTCTTCAATCGAATACATGTGCTATATCAAGTTTGAGGGAGAACTTGCGAATTATCAACAACTGAAGTATATTAACTAATGTGTTTGCACTCTATCACTTGGTTTTTTTTCTTTTCATAATAACATGCTTTTCTTGTTGCTTTTATCGATGTGCAAAAATTATTAAAAGTACTTTTAACTTAAGTTTTCAGAATAATGGATCTTCATCTTTCTTTGCACGTAATTTATTGAGAACTCTGACTTGCTTACAGCAAATTAGCAGCAGTTCTATTTTGAATAACTTATCTTACCTGTTTTGTTATACTTTAATTTTCCGATGGTTATTCAACATTGCTCAGTATACTGATAGGAAAAACTAATTGGGTTCTAGAAATAATACATAGCGCATTCAATCGCAAACATGGTTACTCGTTTCATACGATTTCTCGTTGATAGATGTGAGTATCACACGTTTCGTAGTCGAGTGAAACTAGAATGCCATCTAGTTCTTTTCGTGTTATTTGTTGCAATATTTTACAAATGAAAAATATTTAGTTTTCTCGATGTATTTGACTTTTATTGAAACACTTTAAAGCAAAGGAAAATATTGGTGAAGATTTTCTGGACGATCAAACGGTTGGCATACATTAAGACTTTTCAGTTTATCAAAATCAAAATGTCTTGCAGCATACGTAGAACTATTTGCTATTGTTGTCAGTGATTTGTACTTCATGGAGAGATTTAAAAAACGATGTAATTAGATCAATGTTCTTTTTCAAGAGAAATAGTTCTGCGTAGTCAACATGCGTCCGTGTGAGATAAGGAAATGAATTGAATGTTGAGGATGAACATTGTTTGTCTTTTTGTGGACGAGCATCAGATACATATAAGAGTTCAAGAAAAGGAAAGCCTTGAGAGATGAGTTTAAATAATTTATGTTCCAAAGCACTTGTATCATTCATCGTCAGTTGTCGAACTTTATGAAACATACCACCTTGAAAAGAATTTTTGAGGTTAGTAAAATATTCAAATGCATACGGAAGCGAATAGATATGACGTTCGTCATCGTACGGCAAGGATTTAGTATTAACATATGAAGCTAGGGTGTGGATGTGAGGGTGCAACTGTATTTTTAACTCAACCACATCCACACCCCACTTAGTGGTACTTTGAAGTACTTTGAGGAGTCAAAGTACGATGTTTCCCCCTTGGTTTTTTTATCAAATAATTAGCTTTATTTTCTAGAACATAAAAATAAATCAAAGACTACGCCAAATAGTTAATTGCTTCCTTTATTAACATTTATATTCTTCACAAGCGTTTCGGCCTCGTAATAAAACTTAAAACAGTAATTATGATCTATAGATAGTCATCAGCGTGAAAGACGAGAAGAACAAATATAACTTAACAAATGGCGGATTGTTATTGATATCTGTCGATCACATCGTTTTCAATGTTTTGATTTGTCTGCTTTTTGTTCTCAACATCATCCGATGACCTTTATTGTTTTTACGAATGGTGATTAAATCTATCAGACTACTGATACTCATTATGCACAAATAAAAATCTGTTTTCTTTCCGCAATGAAAAATATCCAAAACAACTTCAAAATAATCTTGCTTACAATAAAAGAAAAACAGCACTAAGATTATCCTGATTTTGATTCGTTTAAGAGCTAGCGAGGTCAGCAGCAGTGAGCCATAAATAATACGATAAGACATTTATATTTTGTTAATACAAACGAAATCAATTGGACGTTTAAGTACTTGACTTATTTACTGAAATCGAAATTATCGATAACACGTACCGTTAATCATAAATATTATCTCTTTTTGAACACAGAACAAAATCAAATATATTGTTCATTGTAGTCGCACAAGAATTAACCTCAACGAGTCTCTTTTAGAGGTCATATTCTCTATGATTACATCAGTATTATATCATAATATAGAACAAAAACTTGATAATCCAAAAGAAGACTTTTTATTGATTGAAAGAAACCACTTATGTAGATAATCTATCTTGCAGATGAAAATATTCGATGATATTTTCTTTTCTTATAATCGAAATGACATCTGAACATTCCTTTCTTGTTTTCATGGATCATTGCAATCAAATATCAATCATATCCGAATATTTCTAAAGATCGTTATAATATACAAAAAACAACAACTCGTGAATGATATTCATCATTGATTTTCTCATTTTTCTTTTTGTCAAGTTATGCGAGCTTATCTTTTTCCGCAAAAATAAATGGTCAATCAGCAGGAGCCTAGATATCACACATCTGGCTAACAGCCTTTCTCTTTTTTTTTTCATTTTGTTTTTTCTAATTGGCATAAATATATTGGTTGACCGATTGAAGATATATACATCCATATATATATATGAATGGCATTGATTGTCTTCAAACAGTGAACTTCATTGTTGTAGAATTTTTATTTTTATTTGCTTAAAAAATGATATTATAATAATTGCTTTCTTGCTGATTTTGTTTCAAATTAATATAATGTCGATTACGAAAGCCCTCGGCATACTTCTATTACATTCCATAAGATATCAATTCAATATGGCCTGTCTTAGAAGTACGTAGTGGGTTGCTTTCTATATAAAGGAAAATTCTTCTTACTTACTCTATTGAACATATATCCACAATGATGAGATATAATCGACTGAATAAGGAATCATAGAATTCTCTTGTATATATATATACCATTGATGATTCCTTTTTGTACGTGTATATACATATGTATATATGTGTATGCACACTCTATTCCTGTACGTAGATGTAGAAGAATCAGGATAGTAGAGTAACGCCGACTCCAAATTTGGCCAATACCAGAAGAAAAAGAAGAAGAAAAAAAAATACGGCTCGTGAATATTCGCATATCTACTGATTGATAATATGTACATACAGAAGCAGGAAGTATTTTCGGCTGAGAAAGAAAAGACAACACCAATAGAATGATGCTTTCTCTCTCTCTCTCTCTCTCTCTGTGTTTCTCGATAAGGACGAAAAGAAGATACCAAGAAGAGAGGAAGAAAAAAAAAGAAAAAAATGATGGACAAACAATAATAAGAACTGAACAGTAATAGAAGCATAAATGCATATCGTTTCCAAAATAGGCATAGATGTTGTTTACAGAACATCATAATTACTGTTCATATATCGACATGCAGTTTCTATCTTGACCGACATTGGAAAAAAGAAAGAAAGAGAATACTCTTGGCAGAAGACAACCATCAGATCATCCATCTCTTCCCCCTTTCTTTTATCTAAGTCTACCAGCTGGTTAACATCGAGCATGCTGATCGGCTATACCACATTAATATTGGCAATGTGCGATTTTTCCCATGTACATATGCATATATATATATATGTTGAAAAGGAACTAATTCATTTTTAATTTCATATAAATTCATTTATGATTACAGTAATATTAATTGTTCAACAAATTATATTTATCATCTAAAAATGAAATGCATACCAAAAAGAAAAAAAAACTAGCCATCTGTTTATATGTTGATAGTCAATAGAATATTTTAAGGCAAAAAGTGCACACGCGTGCACAATCGATGACTCTTTGGCTCTGCATGCGTACGTGTTTTTTTCATGTTGATTGAACCATAGTGAGAACGACGACGAGCAAAAAGATGTTATCGTCTTTTTCTTATTCTTTTTTTTGCTTCTCGTGTCGGTTCTAACAAAATTAGTCTCATTGGTTTTTTTTTCTATCGACATAGCTGACTATACATAGTCTATTCTTTCTTCACTAGTGAACTTTTTTCCTTTTTGGTGAACATGTGGTTGTCATCGTTTTGTTGCTTTTCATTCGTTTTTTGTCTATTCTGCAATAACTGGTTAATTAATCTTGAAAATACATTTTCGGTCAACAGACATATAAGGTAACCAGGCATGAGAAATTTTTTTCTATCATTTCGCATAGATTTGCAATTGAGGAGAGAAAAAAAGAAGAAGAAAAAGAAAAGATTGTCTCCAGCTGAGTTATTTGATAGATTGGTTGCTTTTCTTGTTGTTGTTGTTATTGTTATTATTATGACTATTCTGTTTCTTCTTTTGGGTACATACGATATTGCAAGGAGAAGGAAAAAAAAAGAAGGACATCGCTTTTGTAAGCATAAAAGACAAACTGGATTATTAATACCGCTTTTCTAATCTTGAAAATTTGTTTATATTTCATTCAATAAGGTACTTTACTTACCTGCCATTAGAAAATAACCTTTTAAGGACAGTCTTACGAAGATTCGTATGCATATAGATATACAAAATAATGATTTCCTGTTTCTTCTAATAGTTATGACATAACCAAGAGCGCTAGTGGCAATGGAAACGAACAAAGCTATATGTGTATATACAAAGATATAATTACAACTAAAACAGTTATCAGAACTTGGCGGTACTGAATGATGGATATATGTTCTTTGCAGTATTGTTTGTAATACCGCTAGATGTCTTTATTTGTTGACATATCTAGTATGAAGAAATTAACTTTAAGATCATCGATCATATTCATATGATCGATTTGAATACGTTGATTAATGATAATAAAGAGAATAAGATTCGAGTCAACAATGAAAGAGACACTATTATCACATTTGGTGCAATTCTAATTTGTAACATGCAGTTTTTTTAGTAGATTTATATACAATGATTTATTTATTTTAAATCATTCTCACATTTTTAAATATGAATTGGACACAAAAAAGAAAGTAGTTGGTTAAATATTTTTATTGATTACATGTATCAAAATTAAACGGATCATTCAAAGGTGATTCAAAACCATCAGCAGTTGATGTTGACGATATCTAAATGAAAGACGAAAACGGCAAATAGTTATCTAGACCAACTTCGATGTATTTTTAATCATTAATTTTAAATAGAATAGAATTATTGATATGAAAATATTGTTAGAATTCTATGAAATATATTAATAAAACTCGAGCTTGTTGAGTTACAAAAGAAATGCTAGAATGTCAATAATCTAACGAGCCAAGTGCTCTAACTGATTAATCACTTTTGAATCGAGATAATGTGCATCATGTAGAACTTGATGAGCTATGATTATCTCGATAAGGCCTCGGGGCGTTTAGCTCATTGCTGTGGAGCTATAGTTTGGTAAGATGTTTGAAAGTCAATAGCATGATTCCCCTCAGGAACAGAACAAATTGATTTTCAAATTTCGATTTAAAGGTTCGGAAAAAGATAATGATTAAACAGAACAACGTTATTGCCTTTTTCCGAATCCGGAGATTTATTCAAATACTTGCTTTTATCGTAGTTGTATTTTAAGGTCGGAACGATGGGAAAATATACAACAAATTATTCTCGTTAAAGTTTATCGCTGTGTAAAGGTTCAATTTGAAAGTGACTTTTCTTGATATGCCTGATTGTGTCGTTCGCGTGAAAACTAATACCAAAAAATATTCGCTATCTCTTATTGCCATCAGCTAAAGATTCAAGTATCTATAAGTCATTCACATCTAGATACGGCATAGAGTCACGACTAGAGAAAAGTTAATCCTTATACAATTGGTGATTTTCATGAATTAATTTACGAATTTTAATCTACTATATTTACTTCCAACGGTCGGGAAGTCGTTAGTTAGATGGAAAATAAAATCATTCAAACTATGAAGTGGCTAGAGTTAACGTCTAATGAAAAATCTATCTGTACGAAGCTAGTGTGAACTTCGTTTCGTCTCGAAAGTACTATTCTTTAGGAAATAAAAAATAGCGTAATATATTTGCAACTTTCTAATACTAATTCACAACAAGAAAAATATTATTCTCCAATGAACAGTTTAGATCTAGCAAAAGAGCTACGTTTCATTTCTGTAAGCCATTCGACTAAGTCAACTTTTGTATTGGTAATCGAATATTTTGAAATGCGAATAACTTTTACGCCGCAGTTTTTCTTCTAGGAATATAGCAGTGGTCTATGACTAAATTTTGAGCACAATTTGGGCGAAAATTCTTGTAATCAATAATAAATTTATTTTACTTGATCGGTGCTGCTGCATGCAATAGATTCTACCATTATGTCGTCGAATATGTCTTTATAGCTATTTGGTGCTTCAATGACTAATTGTTTTTGCTGAGACGATGTTTGACCATTATTGATTGGAAAAATTTTATCTTGGTATACATTATTCGTTTGACCGACTGCTACAGGAAGATATGTTAATTGAGGACACAGTTGCTGATTATATAGTTGCGATTGGTACTGCATTGGTGATGCAACTTGAAGAGTTCCTAATCGAGCTGACAGCTCTACAAGCATGTCAGGATGATTAAGAACGTATTGGATAATATCTTCATTGTTCATTGATTGAGAGGGGCCTGCGAAAAATAAATTTTATATCGTTTTAATTTTAAGCGCTAAAAGCTACAGGGATCTTACTCCTTCAGTCCTTTTTAGTAATATCAGTCTCTTAAGCCCCTTTAATGCCTTTTGCACTTTTAGTGTTAAAGGTACTCAAGAGACTAAAGGTGGTAAAGGCATTAAATGGACTAAAAGGACTAAAGGAACCAAAGGCACTACAGTGACTAAAAGGGTTATAGGGAATATAAGGAACTAAAAGAACTAAAGACGGAAGATTCGTGAAACTTTTAGAGCTTAAAAGTAAAACGATATAAAAAATGAAATACAGATAAACTTTGATAGATTTATAGTGCGTTTATTTTTCTTTTATCTTTGCTAGCATTGCAGTGTTCCTCTACAATTCTGCACGGAGATTAAGTGGTCTTTTCTAGTATCACGGTAGTACATCTACTCGGATAGCAGAGGATGTATAGTTCGAATCCCACGACAGGATCATCTTTTCCTCCGTTCTGTGGTCATTTCATCTCGCTGTTAGTTCAGCACCAAACAATCTTACAAGGATTTTCTTGAAATATTTCAGATAGATCCGCATTTGGACTGCTAGTTTCTTGATGATTTTCTTCATCGTCGTCATCGTCTTCAATACTAATATAAAACAAATAGACTTATTATTATTTGAATACCGGTTTTACTTCTTACTTCTGAAGGAGATTTGTTATAGGTCTATAGCCTTCATTTGTGGTATAAATTTTATTTAATCGTTCGTCTAATTTTATTTATATACAATAAAAATCAATGATTTCATTCATTTCTACTTACGAAAGTATTTTTCAAAATCTTTGAATGATTTATAATTTTTAGCGTTTGCTTGATCGTCGAGATTGGACAATATTCGTATATGACTACAGTTTTTTGTATGAACCGTACTTATGAATTTCTTTATATCCATGACTAGTATCGAACTATCAAATGTATGATATTGTAGATGCTTTTTTGTATCTAATAGATATGGAATAGACGAATGAAAACTTTAAATAGTTTAAGCAACAAACTATTGTAAATATCAACCCGAACAGCGCACGGAGATGTTTTTACTGTTTTAGATGTAGCTGCTGCTGATGAATTCGTTTTATAATCGACTTTAATAGAATTTAAACGTAGACCAATTATTGGTGAATTATCATCAGCTGATTTTCTCATTATATCAGCTGCTCGTTCACTGTCACAAATACCAAGACAAAGACTGTAAAGAATGACAAAAATTAAACGATTAATTAATTGAGGAATTTTACCGATCGGCATAAAACATTGCAAGTATTGGATGTTTAGCCATAAATTCTACTTGCTTAACAAAGGGTACAAGAAAATCCTATGAAAAACAAATACGAAAATATTTTTGTAATACGAGGTTTTCTTTTTCTAAAGATATAACAGTACTGGTAAATAAAATAAGATTCGTGTATGCATTGTACTTATCCATAGGTTGTTTTCTAATTATTATTCGCCTATGTTTGTTTTGCTAAGAAAATTCACATACAACTATAAATTAGTCAAAAAAAGTAATAGCAGCGCATTCAGCTGCACCCGAAAAACACCTGATGCTTAATAGTACGTTTAGTAGGGGTGATATACTTCAAATTTAAATTTAGCGCGAATTCAAAGTGCTACTTCTCACACTTAGACAGTCATTCTAAAATAAGAATAGAGATGTTAAAAAGAGTTCTTCGAGAAGAATGTATTGCATTAGTAAAAACGTTGTGATGAAGTGAGAACTTCATCTTACATATTGTAAGTTTTGTTTTCGATCTATCGACTCCGGTTTGCCCATCTCTGGATTGATTCAATAGACTCTATCAGAACTCAATTGTCTCGGTCGTGATCCGATAGTCTTTTGAAATTTTCAAGTAACAAGTACATTCTGAAAAACTCGCACTCGTTTTACTGTCAATACGTCTTATCGTTGATTATAAAAACATTTTATTATTCAACAAGGTTACCGACTACGTAATATGTCAACTTTTGATCTGCTATTGTGCTAAGAGAATCTTTTTTTGTATGTCAAAAGTATTAAATAGTCTTATTTTTAACAAACGCTTAAGAATTCTCGAGAAATTTTAAAATTCTATTTTATAAAAAAAATAAATGAATTTTTGCTTTATTACATACCATGTAAATATCTTCCATTGCTTGAAAATTTTTTCTTTCATCTAGAATAAATTTATTTCAATGAAATATGAAGAAGAAAAAAAACGATTTAATTACTCTTAGCTTTGTATAATTCTTTTTCAAGATAACTCTTAAGACATGAACCATGTGGCACTCCTGTTCGATGGCAGAAAAACCGTAATATATATTTTAATAGCTGTGGAACATCAATTGTTGGATGCTAGATGAAAAAGGAAAAAAAAAGACCTTCTCACGAAGGTTCAACTTCTATTGCCATACATGCGTATGACGTCGTATATCACTCAGAATAACTCTTGTTAGTGAGTGTGGAATATAACTATTATGAGAAACAATGCCAAAGTCTAATGTTTCTAATGGAGTTTGATAACATCTTGAAAAATTAAATTGTTGAAGATTCAGCTATAAAGAAAATTTTTGAAAAAACTCGTTGATGTTAACATCATTATTAGACATTACACGAAGTTTAATGGAGAATTTAAGTCTGTGCAATTCGTCACCTAAGTGAATACGCGTATTTTTATTTGTTGCATATTGAATCGTAAGAAGTGATAATTCAGCATATTGTATCGTTCGAGGTTTATCATTCGGGTCGATTTGTAAGCGACAAGTTTTCCATGAAATCGTTGAGGCTTCAAGTTTATAAGTGGGAGATAATGAAAATAAACTTGTTTCTATATACAGAAATATGTAGAGAGACAAAAAGAACGATGAAAAATTCAATATGAAATTATTTACCAATATCGTAAAGTTCAATTAAATTCGGATGTGATTGCATAAAATCATATAATAATGAAACAATTGTAACGGATAATTTAGCTGTACACTGACCAGTTCCTCGAGGTTCATAGATTAAAACTGGATTTACGCCACAATGAGGATGATTAAGAATCATAAATGAACTAAAGAGTAATGTTACAAAAAAAAACATCCATTTCGCTTTTGTTTATTAAAATCATATTATTACGTGGAGAATAGCGTTTCTAATTCTTTTAGGCCAGCTTCGTGAAATTGTGGATCATATCTCATCTTACAATCAATTATATAACTTAAATGTTCGGTTGTTCTAAATAAATAAAATGGCATAGTAACAAAGCGGCGGATAGTAAACTTAAAATAGCTAAGGCTTTTCGAAGTATAGTTATGACGTAGTTTGGGATTCACTCTTTTCTCTCTTGCATAGTTATTGTGTCTGTTGAGAAAATACATGCCTGTTCAGTAGATGAATTATACTCGGAGGTTCTTTTGCTTCGAGATGAGTAAACTGAAAGAGCCGGCGTACATCTTGAGCCATTCTTCGTCGTAGAAAATGTTGTTCTCGTAGGCGGAAATCCTATTTTTTATTTGAACTGAAATCTATAACAACATAGCAAAAGAATTCAATCTTACTTCTGGATATTCAATATTTTTACTGATGGGTTTATCTGTAATTCTCATTTGCATCTCGATTCGAAGATCAGATATCAGCGACAGAAATTGAGATTCATTCTATTAGATGGGAAAAAAGAAAGTTTACATTTCATTTGAATAGAAAAAACTCTTACTTCCTTTATGTATGATATTAATCGAGTGATTATTAAACATTTTTCAATCGATGCTTCAATTTCAACCAGATTCTTTCTTCTATCTTCTAGCAATGTCACATAATCATTTGGTTGTCTGTAATAAAATGTAAGATAATCATTTTTTCTTTCAACTCATCGATTCATTTTCTGTGTTTTGTCTTTACTTGTGTTGATAGCGTTTTTCAGCTTCATCAATGATATCTGAAAAATTTATTTCTCCTACTGATTTTCGTAGGAGAAAAGCAAGTAAACCCAATGTTTTTTCTGAATATTCATTTGGCGAGAGAAAATTATAGCATTCAAAAAGACCATTTACAATATTCTAGAAGTTCTTTAATTATATTTTTTTTTATTTTGAAAAAAATGACTTACGATTACCGGTTCTACTGGAGGTGCTGAAAAACAAACGAACGCTATTAGAATAAATCAATTGGTTTTGTCGTTAAGAAGAAATACTCACAACTTGGTGCAGCTCGTTTGTTTTTTGCTTTCGAGACGAACATTATAGGAGTACAAAAAAAAAGTCCTTGATCTAAAAAATAATCAAATAAAACGCAAAGGAGATAAAGAAGTTCGAAGCATATGTCCAAATTAAAAAACACAAAAGATATAAATTCTTGAGCGATCAAGCAGTTTGCGATAAAAATTTATAGGTTATTTTTTGAATTAAAATAGGGCTTTTCATGAAGTGGAGTAGTTGATTGTGCATTAACTGATATTGTTTGTGAAGTTGGTTTTGGAATATTGATCCTTTGATCTGCAGATATACGATAGATAGTCGATGACTGCATCAATGGAGTACATTCAGGAAGTCTAGTGGAAATCAACTGTAACAAGTCTTGGTTGGACATAATACTGGTATTTGGATCCGTAACAACAATGACTACAGGAGGCTGATACACGTTGGTTTCTGTAAAAGTAAAAATTATTCACGGAGTTTTACAAATAGGGAAATAGTTTTACGATTCGTTTGAGGCATGATAACATGTTGCAATACAGTCGAATGGCTTCTAAGCATTGACTGCTCAGCAGGACAGAAATCTTGAGACTGAGAGTTGTATGACTCCGATGCAGGTGGCGATTCCAAGGTTGCTAGATCATTGGTATCCATATTGGCATAGTTTGAATCAATTGAAACTGAAATAGACGCATATGGGCGAATGCATGGGAAGCGTACCACTCTATACGCGACTTTCTCCAAATTGACTGAAACTTTCACGGTTTGTCGAGCTCAGTGGTCTGACCATTTCGGTGCTAAATAAGGATAGGCTAGCATATAGACTTCGGTTAACATTAGCCGAGATACGATTTTGTTCTATTCTTCTTATCCTCAATATTATTTTTTTTCAAATTACTCCAGTGCCAATTTATATTATGCGTCATTAAAACATTTTCAATGTTACTTGTTCATTGTTCAGTTCTGTATGGAAAATACTAATGTTGGCGTAGGGTAAGTATATTTCCCTAATCGACTTCCCCCAACGACTCTCCGGGGAGTCTCCGTAAAATAACGAAGTCCCTGGGTAGTCCCTGTCGTGAGTCCCCGGGGATTTCTCTGGGGAGAATTGGTAAAATTTTTTAAAATAAAAAAAAACTCTTTAATTTTTTTAATTTTTAAAAAATTAAGAAGAATTTGTTAGTAATTAGATATTTCATCGGTTTTGACCAGATAACTCCCCGGGGAGTCCCCAGGGAGTCCCGCAAAAGAACGAAATCCCTAGGGACTCCCTGGGGATTCTTCTAGGGAGAGTTGACTAGGGTTGTCTTGGTTCAACTGTTCTCATTTGGTCATGCTGAAACGAAAACTAATTGAGAAATTCACCCTTGAATCTAGTGCCCTTCAGAAAAAAATTGATCCTAGACGAATGATTTCCTCAATACAATCGAAGTTGATTTATGAGAATGGATATCTGACATTTCATAGATGGCAGTGAACTATTGTTTATACAGTATTTCAGTATTGATATTAGCGAAAATGGGGGTTAGATGCCTCAAAATGATTCGAATGGGGTTAGATCCAACAAGTAGGAATTAGTCATACGTAGATCGACGAAATGTCGAAAATCGTATTGTTGAATTTATTGTGTTTCTGTGAACAGTTTATTGTCTTTGAACTTGATGACTAAGTCAAACGCGTGGTGTTATCATCATCCTGTGCGACACAGTGGAGCAAGCAAAGTTGTACGCGCACCATCACATCCCAAAGGAAAGTATCTTTCTTCATTCCAACTGGTCAATTTCCTGCAGAAACGATACTGTGCACCCGTTATCAATTTCTCGGAGTCGAATATGGAAAATGTTTTATTCATGTAGGATATATTGATAATGATTGGAACAATTGAAAAATATATTATTGAGGTTAAGACGAATAGAACTTTCACAATCTTTTTCATCCACTAGTCGAGGTCTGTTTGAATTGAAATTTTCACATCATTTCATGCAGTCGTTCCTATAAAAATTCTCAGATTGGAACTGAAATTTAACCAAAAACAGCAGTGGAAAAACATTTAGGGCATCTAGTGGACAAGAATCAAAGTCGGGTGAAAAACTACATACACCAGAAGATAGAGCAATAGACGCTCTACAAAACCTATTATACCGATTTTCAGCCGAATTCGGAAGGGTTCTGCTAGGGTGAGTTTATCTTTTTCTGCAGTAAAATCGAGTGCAGCGGTAAAAAGCTTCTTTTTCTTTTCTAGAGTAGAGCCATTTTGTTTGTTTGAAGTTCGATAGAGCTGAGCGTGCGCTATCAGAATATGATTATATATAGTTTGTTGTTTTGAATGTTAAAATAAGGGAGATAATGTTCTCACAATGAACGAAATTTTTTTTGTATTCTTTTCAAAAATTCTCAAAATTGTATCTCGGCTAATTTTAACCGAAGTCCATATGCTAGCCTATACTTATTTAGCACTGAAATGGTCAGACCACTGAGCTCGACAAACCGTGCAAGTTTCAGTCAATTTGAAGAAAGTCACATATAGAGCGGTACGCTTCCCATGGATTCAACCATATTTTGATATGGAAGATTTATAGTTGATGACATACTATTGGATATGTTTGGGCTTGTGGTTGTTGCTGGGATTGGACAATTCTATAATAATAGAGAGAATGCAAACGTATATGTTTTACTTTTCTCTCATGCTTAAATGTCATACCGGTGACAGTCCGGATGGTAATGATGAATCAGGATCATTCAGTCCATTGTTTTCTTCACTAATTAATGCATAACAGAGAACTTTTGTATACAGAAGAATTGCAATCATTCTATTCTCGTTCACATCAATTGTTTGTCATCTTTCATAGTTGATTCTATCAGAATCTTTTCTTTACGTAGACAAAGTTAGGGCATAAACATTCAAGTTTATCGTATGAAATTTAGTCTCTATTTTCGAAGAAAACCTACAGTGAAACGTTACAGATTTTTATGAACAGAAAAAATATTCTAGTCGATTTTTGACGTATAACAACATTTAAAATCTGTTAGTATTGCATTAAAAAATTTACTTGTGAGGACACTCCCATAGCGAAAGATATCGTTCTCGATATGGACAGATAAGTCGCAATTTCTCACCTAGATATACATTAAATAAATAGAAATAAATCATTAGGACGCTTTTTTCAAATATATCTTACTATCATAAAGGTTAGCATAATTGGCAGTATGATCCAAGAGATTATGATCTTTCGTATCGACTGTAGTCAAGATGTTTTCAAAACGTGCCGCTTCACCCAATAATATTCTAATTATGAACACGCCCAACATGCAAGATAGTTTAGCCCCCTCGAATGCATAATATCGTGGGTTAGTTGAGCCACCTGACATAACTTTCATTATTATTTATTAGGCATCAAATCGAATACATACTTTCTATCAGATTAGCACGTACGCCAATATCCTTGACATTTTTCATGCGACTCAATTCACTTAATCGAATTGCACAAACAGAAACCTTATAGAGTTCATGTACTTGATGTAAAATATTATCGACTGTATTGCTATCACATAGACCTAAGAATAATCTGGAAAAGAAAATAAATAAATGATGTGCACAGTTATATTTGATATCATTTACCCATCGCTATGAAATAGACTTAAAACTGGATGTTCAGCAATAAAATTAATTTGACCAAGAATTTTTGCTAGAGAAGCCTATGGAAAATAAATGATACGCTGCTAAACAAACTCATGAAATCATATCTACTTGACAAAGATTTTCTATTGAGCCAGATTTATTATCTAAACAAAGAAACGTATATTGTTAGAAAAGCTATTTGTTTGCAGAAAACGTGTTTTTTAACATACGACAATCCGTGTTCAACATTTTTGCAATATATGGTATGACCCAACTTTTTGGATTTATACCAGTTTGATGAATAAAATAACGTCGAATACAATTGACAATTTCATCGATTGTTAAATCTGCTGTCATCAATGAAGGAATTCCAAGATTTGATGTGGGTACTACTGGCCTCCAGCTTTTTAGATCTTGTATAAACACTTTAGCAAAGAGATCTCCATCTTGCGATGTGTTCGATACGATTCCAAACGGGGCTGATTGAACCGTAAGAGAATGTTGAATGGACGAGAATCCGTCGGGAAAATGTACCTGGAGACAAAAAATTAATTTTAGTTTTCTGTTTTTTTATATTCTAAAAATAGTTTAAAACTTACGGTGACAACAATATTAAAGTCAATACAATAGACAAGTGGTGCATAATGAGGTTTTATTTCTTTAGATACTTTTTGTTTTTCTGATCGGTCAGGTAACTGTCGAAAAATAATTTTTGATATTTTGGCACAGTTAAAATTTCTTCGATTATTCAGAGCAGTTGTAAGCGTAAACGTTTCCCACGTCAACGGTTGTTGAGGATAAACTTGCAAAGTTTCTTCTGGTTGATTTGGCGTTGGTAAAACACGGACAATAGGTGCTGAAAAAATTTTAATTTTATTCGCTCATTCTCATCTCATTCGTAATTACTTATATTATCGATGGTTATCTGAGTGGTTGATGTGTCAAGTAAACTTAAAATTCGACAATGAATTTTGGCAGTAACAGGTTCTTTAGTTGTTGTACTATGTGTAGCAATCGGCGGTGATGGATGTTGAATGATAAAAAATGAACTAGAAATCAGAAGAATCGATGCAGTCATATAAATGATGTTGACGAACTTGTTAATTAAAATTTTCAACTGTTGCGTTAATTGTTCGTGAGCAGGTGATTGCGGAATATTACAGAGAAATAACTGCAGATGAGATGATATCCTAAATGAATTAAATTAATAGTAAAACAAACAGGAAAAAGTAGATTTATTTTTCATCACATACCAACTTTGTAGATCAATAAGATTTATCTTTTTTCGAACTTCACTATCAGCATAGAATTGAAATCGTCGCATGCGATAAACTTGATCGAGTGCAAGTGCACATTCATTTTGTTGTTCGCCTTGTTGTTGAAGTTCGGCCACCTAAGGAAATTTATTCGTTAACAACAAAAAATTAATTATTCACCGAAGAGCCTCATACTGTTTGTGGTGACGTTACTGTTAGATTTTCGCTCATGTATAGATGAAGATATTCTTGAATTCGATTTAAAATCGATTGAAATTGTTCTCTATTCTATATATATATATGTATGTGTGTAATATGATAATGATATATCGAAGAAATCAAACCAATTTACCTGTTCTAAATATTGACGTAATCGATTAACTATCATACATCGTTCAATATCAACTTGATTTTTGTCGCTTAAAGTCCTTTCACAATCATTTAGATACGCTAGGAAATCCCTGTTCAAGTATTTGATGAATGAAAAATAGTAGATTTCAGAGAAATTATTTTAGTTATACTTTGTTTGAGCATTTGGTTTTACTCCATAATAGAAGAATTTGGCAAAATGTTCATTATCATAACAGCGCAGTAGATAACTGTATATACCAATGACTTCTGGTGGATATTCATTCGGTGCTAGAAACTGATGACTTGGCCAAAGACCAGGTATGATTGTTGACGTCTATTATATATTTTAGAAAATAAAACATGTAAACTAGGCAAATAATCACCGGTGATACTTACATGCCTTTGCAAATAGGCATCGGATTGCCTTCCTTTTGGCATAGATAGTGTGTCTCTTATTGAAAAAAGAGGCGATATTCAATATCAGGCTGAATTTTTGTTTAAAAGGTATTTTTCGTTTAATGACTACATGCAGCTGCAGTGAGCAAATAAATAAGATCGACGGCGAGCGTCATGATTCATAAAGAAAAAAAATTTTCTCCTTTTTTTTCAACGGAGAACGCTTAAAATAGAAACAAAAAACAATGTGGACGCACATTGCACCATAATAACACACAGAATAAATGCTTTAGAATAAAGTGACGTTTTTTTCTTCAGTGAAAACTTGAAGGTTGACATTTGTCATTGGATAGTTGGAAATCCCCATGGTTTCAAGTTCTTATAAAAAAACGTGTTTTATTAAGAGAGCTGTTTCCTGATTTTGATTCTTTCCAACACAGTACAATATACGTCTTATGACGTTATTGATTATTTGAAATTTTATTAGTGATTTTTTTTATTGTGACTTTGAAGTACTTTCCTTCTTAGCCGATGCTTAGGTAAGTTTAATGCACTTTGATAAGGATACCTAGAACATTTTTTTATCATCTCTTGTGCATAAATCGAAAGCCTTTCAGTAAACGCTTTCAGTATGAATAATATTATACTTATTACAATAGTGCATATGCAAAGTCTAAATGCCGACCTCACTCAAATATTTAAAAGCGCCGACGTATCCAAAAGCAAAAAATTCATCAACATAGTAGCACTCAAAGCTGCTAAGATAAAAAAAAAGCAAGAAAAAATTATATTCATCGCTGTCAACGAATGGTCGTATATCAGCATGTTTTTTTAGAAAAGAAAATGACATCTTTTTTTTTTATCAACAGCTTCAATTAAAACAAGACAGAATGTCGCGCCTATAATATAAACTAGATGGTATTCGAGTTTCACTCGACTACGAAATGCGGTGCGAAGCACACGAGCCGAATTTTCTAAAGTAGCGAGAATAAGATTTAAAAATAAATGATTCACTTCAAGATTCATTACAAACGTTTATATTTTTTAAATTTCCGTATACGAATTTTGAATAAAAATTTCGCATTCACTATTCTTAAATCGACCATTTTGAAATTCATCACTAGGAAATCTCTCTGAAAATGTAACAACCAGTTGTCTAAC